ATATACGTACGTCGAGGTATCGAGGCAACAGGAAGGGAAAAAAAGGTAAACCAGTCGTGCCGCAGGAAGAGATCTTCGTCTCAGCAATGATAGCAATGGTAAATCGCGATCCGCGATGATTCGCCACGTTAAATAATTGCCATTGTAAGAGTATAAGACCGGATAAAAAGTGAAAATAAAAGTTCGACATGCCTTCCTTATTAGGCAATATATCGCATATTACGATTCTATTACAATTTCTGAAATAATTGCAAACGTTTTCTACCTAAAATATACGTGAACAATTTATATATATATATATATGTGCGTGCATGCGTGCGTGTGCGTGTGCGTGTGCGTGTGCGTTTGCGTGTGCGTGCGCGAGTGTGTGTGTGTGTGTGATGTGTGTGTGTGTGTGTGTGTGTGTGTGTGTGTGTGTGTGTGTAAATAAAAACAAAGACTGATTTTACGAAAATAATTATATGATGATGCAATTGCCACATTAATAATTACAAAATATTAATATTGCAGACCACATTGGGGTATCACAGTCCACAAAATTCTTTATGGCAAGATAAGCACCCGCCGAAAAATTCGCCAACTGGCGGTGATCAGATACATGTGAACAGCGGCTCGCCACATCTCTCGCCTTCTGGATCTTCTCCGAATTGTGAACAGAACAATTCAAAACGCCGTTCCACGGAATCAGACATAACTGAACTTGAAAAGAAACATATTAGAAGAGATGGTTGGTATATTTCTTATTTATTTTAAATATTTACATAAAAATTATTGCATACTATTTAATTTATAGGATAGATTAATTCATAGAAGCATTTATTGCGATTAAATTTAAAGCATAATTTTTAGCATTTTTTTCCAATTTTCAGATTAGCAAATTTCTCGATATATCTAATAAAATTAAATAAATTTAATGTAAAAGCTTTTCTAAATTACATAGTGATAATAGGATAAAGATATAAAGCTTGCTTAAAATAATCTTACTTTAAAACTCGATCTTTTTAAGATGTTAAGGTTCGATAGTGTCAAATTTCACCTTCCATGCAAAATATATTTGCATAAAATGTAAGAAATATGTTGCCTTAATTGTACAGTGGCATGAAGTCATTATCGCATATATTCGTTGATGTAATGTATCTTCTTAAAGGTCGTGACCAAACGGCCCCTGTCGAACACTGTCGTAGCCACGAGTTCCATTTTGCTATTTAGTATTATGGATCTTTTCTCTATTAAGAAATATCTGTATTATTTTTCCTATTTTTTATATTTTTAAAAGATCTTTTTTGTAATAAATTCACTACATATATATAT